TCTTGTGTTAAGGTAATAAAACTTAACAAGGAGTTTTTGATGTGGCAAATCTTGCACAACAGCAAATGTAAACACAGTAACCAGACAGGAATTGGTTATCATGCATTAGCGAGAAATTATGTGGCATACAGGTGTTTCCAGATGGGCTGTCCAAGATATTCTGCAGAAGCTCAAACAGGTAAGGTTAATGGCTAAGTTCACCTTTTGAATAAAATTTGCTATGGGGGATTATAAAAAAACACTGAGCAACATCTAAAGCATTTTCTTAGTTTTAATACCATACATATAGGCCATTTATGGCACCCCCTCAGCCTGCCCAACAAAACTCCCATTCTGAGTATTTGCCTGTCCTGCCTAGATGCTAGGATGCACCATATAGAGGTATGAAATCAATGTATGTTCCAACCCGAGGTTAGGGCAGAATGGGGGGGTTGGATGTGGGGGTGCCACAAATGGCCTACAGGAATGGCATTAAAAGTAAGCAAAAGCTTGAGGAACTGCTCAGTGTTTTTTTAACTTCCTGCGGCCCCTTAACTACATTGAGAATTTTATTCAAAAGGTGAACTGAGTCTTCAGGGACTCGAAACACGGTGGTCAGCCAAGGGATCGGAGTGCAGCAAAATCAGTCAACATCTCTGCTATCAGCTTAGAGCTGCAGGAAAGCAAAGGAACTCAGGTATACCCATCTACAGAGAAGTCCTAATTGAAGAGTTGTAATCAAGAAGCCATTCCTGTGAGATGGGGGGAAAAAAGATTCCACCTAGGCCCTTTAAAAACACAAGGACTAGAGGGCAAGCAAAATAATACCTAATGAGGCAAAATTTTACATTTTTGGGTCTAAACAAATACAGTTTGTCCATTAATGCATGAGTGGAAATACCATTTCTGCAGCGTAGGGACCCCTGGGACTTAGGGGTCTGTTTATATTAGGTGTGGGTTGGGCAGTTGCTGGGACCCCCTCCCACTGTTCTAGGGTAGGTGAGAAGCAGGAGCCATGCTTCATGATACCCTAACCATGCTCCTTTTTTATTGTTAATATTCAAGTGGGGCCATGCAGCACTTCCTACATTTCCATCCTGACTGGCACTGAGCATCCAGAATGCTTATCCCACTCCCCCTTGACACCATTTGTGGAAGTATTGAAGGGAATTTTCCCTGCCTGATCCCAGTTGCATTTTTTGGACCATAAGAGAGATCCGGGTATCGGAGAGGGTACTCTTCACCAGCATCTAGATACATAGTATATTTATTTTTTCTTGTTTTATTTTGTCGAGGACAATGCTGGACGTCGTGATTGACGCTGGATTACGTCGGTGGATCCTTTTAAAAAAAAATAAAAGACGTGTCAAAAATTTGTCTTTTTTTTTATTTTTACAATTAAAGGAATTTTTCAAAAGTCTGTCCTTTTTTAAAATGTTAATTTAACCCTTTAGTGAATGGGTAGGGGTACATCTGGGTATTAAAGGGGTACCCCAATTTGATTAAGCCCCCTGCCCGCACCCCCATAACCAACGCCCCAGGGCTTGTGGGGAAGAGACCCTTGTCCCCATCTGCACAAGGACAAGGTGCTTTTCCAGGTGCGACCCTGGAAAAGCACCCTCCCAGTGCAGTGTGGCCTGGTATGGCGAGGGGGGCATTCGCTTGCCCCCCCCTTTCCTGCCCTGCCCCAGGCCTGCGCTCAGATCAAGGGTCTGGTATGGAATTTTAGGGGACCCACGTTTTATTCCACCATTTTTGGGGGTGGGGTTCCTCCTTAAAATTCCTACCAGACCTTAAGGGCCTGGTATGACTTTGAGGGGGAACCCCACGCACTTTTTATTTTTACATGGGGTCCCTCCTAAAATTCCTATCAGACCTTAAGGGTCTGGTATGACTTTTGGGGGAAACCCCACGCTTTTTTTTTAAATGTGGTCCCTCCTAACATTCCTACCAGACCAAAAGGGTCTGGTATTGCTTGGGAGGGGGAACCGCATGCTTTTTTTTTTTCTTTATAAATGCCATTTTTAAAAAATATAAATGTCAGTTTTGCTGCATCAGGTTCTATACATTGTACAGATGTGCCACTTTACAGGCAGTTTAAGGGGACCCCCTATGCACAATTGTCCCCTCTTAAAGGGGACAATTGATTTTAAAAGTTCTACCCCCATAGACTTGCATTGAGTTCGAATTTAAATTCACACTTTTTCCATGTTCGAAAGTTCGAATCCGAACCGCACACAGGCCTGTTTGGCCCATCACTAATATTTACATCAGTGGTTACATTTTCAAGAAATGTAGGAGTTACAGTATATCACTGGTCACCTTATGATGTATCAAATGCACAAACAAGTATCAAAACAAGAGTGTAAGATAAAATGCACGAGATATACAGTAGGAGGGAAGGCAACTGAAGGAAAAGGAAATAAAGGGAGAGAATATTAAAAGTAAGGCCAGGTCCAATTCCAAATTATTATAATGGCTGTTTCTTAGAGATCTGGACTCTGCTGTACCATATACATATACACATACTGAACACACACATATAGAAATATATATATAAATACACACTATATTGCCAAAAGTATTGGGACACCGAGCTTTACACGCACATGAACTTTATTGGCATCCCAGTCTTAGTCCGTAGGGTTCAATATTGAGTTGGCCCACCCTTTGCCGCTATAACAGCTTCAACTCTTCTGGGAAGGCGCCCACAAGTTTTAGGAGTGTGTCTGTGGGAATGTTTGACCATTCTTCCAGATGCGCATTTGTGAGGTCAGGTACTGATGTTGGGCGCTCATCCATGTCTTTTTGGAGCTTGCTTTGTGCACTGGTGCGTGGTCATCTTGGAACAGGAAATGGCCATTCCCAAACTGTTCCCACAAGTTTGGGAGCATGAAATTGTCCAAAATGTCTTGGTATGCTGATGCCTTAAAGGGTTTCTAAACCCTCCGGTTGCAAGCAAGCAGTAGATATAGGCAAACAGTTTAAAAAAAACCTGCTTTAACAGCTGTTTAAACTTACCCCGTTTCCGCTGTGCGCTCCCGCCCGAGTATCTGAAACTGCTCGGGCAGCATCCTGGGGCAAAACATCCTGGGGCGGGCGCATGCGCAGTTCATATTTTCGGCCGGGAGACGAGCAAAAATGCAAGGTAAGTCTATGGACGCGTGCACCCGCATGCAGACACCGCGGGATCGGAAGTGCCAGCAAAGACAGGAGTCAGCGCTGGTTCGGAGAGCCGCCGCACCGCTGGAGGGACAGATGAAAACATCAGGAAAGAAGAGGAAGATAGGATTAAGAAACATTATTTAAGGTAAGTGCTAACATTAACATTGGGGGGAGGGAACATTTTTTTTTACTTTAATGTCACTTTAAGAGTTCCCTTCACGTTCTCCTGTTAACCGCAAAATCCAGACATGTCCATCGGATTGCCAGACAGAGAAGTGTGATTCGTCAGTCCAGAGAACACGTCTCCACATCTCTAGAGTCCAGTGGCAGCGTGCTTTACACCACTGCATCCGACGCTTTGCATTGCACTTGGTGATGTAAGGCTTGGATGCAGCTGCTCGGCCATGGAAACCCATTCCATGAAGCTCTCTACGCACTGTTGTTGTGCCAATCTGAAGGCCACATGAAGTTTGGGGGTCTGTAGCTATTGACAGCAGGCAGTTGGCGAGTTCTGTGCACTGTGCGCTTCAGCATTCGCTCACCACGCTTTGTCATTTTACGTGGCATATCACTTTGTGGCTGAGTTGCTGTTGTTCCCAGTTGCTTCCACTTTGTTATAATACCACTAACAGGTGACCGTGGAATGTTTAGTAGCAAGGAAATTTCACAGAACACCTGAATCCAATGATTTGGAGGGGTGTCCCAATACTTTTGGCAATATAGTGTATATATTGTATATATACAGTATATATATATATGTATTTTAAAAAAATCATACATTAAAACAGGGATTCACAAATCCAGCAGCGCTGTACGCTCCTTAAAAATGACAGCTGCCTCCTAACTTTTGAGTTTTTCTCTAGTCTAGTCTTGGTTGGAGCTGGAAAATTATCTGTACTTGTACTGAGTACAGTACTTGGTATCTGAACATCCCTAATTAAAACTACGCTGGGTGAATGGAAAACACACAATAATATATTGTAATCACATCACGTAACAGTGCCTTGTTGTAAAGTAATCATCATAAGAAACGATACAGCTCTTGAAACCTAGTTTGGGACTTGGATCTCCTTTCATCAATGTGTTTCGCTACAAAGTAGCATCCTCAGGAGGTCATGGCGAGGTCAGGGATGCTTACAGAGATCATCAAAACCATGCTGGGTGAATGTGGTTTGCATTCCCCCCATAGTGTTTGGTAAACCAGACTGTGAGACTGATATGGGGATGTGATGGAGTAAGGCTAAGGAAAAGGTTCTGGGTGCATGGTTATACTATAACATAAAAAGTCAGGGGTTCAAATAAATCATAATTACAGAGCAAACGTTATTAGGGCTACAAAGATCAGGAGCCTCCGTCATGGTGCAGGTCTACAGAAGAATACTTTATCCTCGGGTTTAGATATAGCTCTTAAATCTTATCAACCACAGGGATCCCAACCTGAGCAATTTCAGGGAGGTGCCCATCTCATTTCAGGGAGCTGCCCCCCCCTGAAAGGATGGCAGATAGCACCGGAAGCAATAGCTTCTTTGCTATCTTATGGTTTTTTGTAGGGATGCACCGATACCGATACTAGTATCGGTATCGGTGCCGATACCGAGTATTTGGATGAGTACTCGTACTCGCCCAAATGCTCCGATACCTTGCACGAGTACTTCCTGTATCAGGAAGCCGGGCAGCACATCATCTCCTCCTCCCCCTCCCTCCCCGTCCCCTCCATCCTCCCCGGCCCCTCCACCCAGACTCACCGAGCGGAGGATTGGACGAGGAGGCTCAGGCACGGCTCCTCCCGGGGGTCGGATGTGCGCCCATCTCCTGCCTCTCGGGGGGCTGCCAGGCAGCGCGAAGTGTCGTATGGGGGGGCAGCAGGATGGCACTGGATGCCGCGGGGCTGGGATAGCTAAGCTGGACGCAGGAGCTATGGATGGAGCCGGTTTTGCCCTTTGAATGCCCCCTCCGTGCCAGCTGCTTTCCTGAGGCTGGGGGGGCTGCTGCAGGAGGGGCGGCCAGCGCTGGCACCAGGTGGATGGCATGGCGCAGAGAGAGCCCAGCTGAAGGTAGGTGCAGCTCTGTGCCACACACACACACACACCGCAGTGCCCACCTCCTCCCATGTTCTAGTCTCTTCCTATGATCTGTGCATGTTCAGGTTGCCTCTGTACACCTTTTTTTTTCCTGTGGCTAAGTTATCTCTTTGCATAGGATGACCGTATCTCTGACTTGCTGCCAGGGTTGTGCCCTGTTATAAAAAAACATCTCTGGGTTTTAGCAGGATTGGCTTGTCTGTGGTCGAGTTTGGACTGTCCATTGACCCCCTTTTTATGTGTCTACCAGTGACCAGAAGTGATACCCTTTAAATTTAATTCATCTGATGCCCCTTCTGCGATCGCCCTGCCTTGGGTTGTGCCGGCTGTCTCTGCCCAAGTCTTGTCTGTCTTTTTTTTCCCTGCCATTTCCTCTGCTGATTGCTGACTCCATGTTGTGGCTGAGCCAGTCTCCGGGCGCCCCTGTCCATGGTGCTGAACTGCCAGCTCCGACTGCTCAGCAGCGCTCATCAGGATTTTGGCCACCTTCCCCGAACATACTAATGCCATCCCCTGCAAAGTGTTTGCCACCAAGATCAGAGCAATGTTATATCACAGACATCAGATGTCCTATATAGCATGACACACGAATGTAAGGGACATGGGCAACATACATGGTGCAGCCAGACAGGTAAACAACATGCACCTTAAGAGAGACAACATCAGCCTTCATGGCTGGAACACACATGATACACCCTTGAGAAAATCTTAGCAAGGTCCTTCTTAGACATGTCAGCTCCATGTATGATGCATGCTGATCTGTCGGAAAACTGCAAGGCAAGAGTAAAATATTTCTGGATATAACAGCGCATAATTAATTTCTGCTAACAAATGCACCCGGCAGCCTTTTCACGAGTCAGCATCCTACATCAAACAGCATCCCACTAAGATGCTTCTTGCATCTCTGACACATGACACCAGCATAAATCTTACAGCCTTGACATATGTCACTAGCATACCAACAGCTAAGCTGGCAATTCTGATCAACAGATCCTACATAGCTAAATCTGGTCAGCTTGATATATTTTGAGGTTAACCTGCTCTAATATAGCTCCTATCACCCCATCTATGTGCATCACATCTTCCCCCAGGTATATATATCTGTAGATCATAAGCCTGCACTGCTCTGCGTGTCTATGTAGGGGATATTGTGCATGTATCGCCCAGATTATGGCTAATCTCTATATTATCTGCAGCTCATTAAGGTTTGTTTTGGTCACGGGCTTGCAAATTAGTGGCAAAGTGCCTGAAAAAGGTGAGCGGTTAATTTGACATTGTTCTGCAATAGTCATTAGGCGCTGAACTTCGTTGCATACGTGTAAACAAAATTAATGGGGTCTGCTGTATCTGTTTACGTGCCCTGACAGCTATCGACAACAGCAATGTGTTTTAAAATAGATGGCCCTGGTCCTCTGTTGGTGTACCCCTCCCCCCCTTCCTTTCCTACAAATATATGTACTTGTTTCTGCATCTTGCAATTAAAACAGTGAATTGCCATCTTTCAGGTCTACCCCTTGTGTTTTCACACTAGTAAATATCAAAAGTGAATTATGATGATTAGAGTTGCAAGCATATGTACAGGAATATGCTTTAATGATGTGATGGTAGTGAGCTCCCAAGTGTTGACTAAGTGCAATTACAAGCTCGGTGGTCACGAGTCGTAAAAGTGTTCTAGTTGTGAAGCGTTTGGTTTAAGTCGATTAAATCAGAGCTCGATGTAAAGAGCAAATAGAACGGGCTTAAAAGGCTACCTCCACCCAAAGCAGACATGTTACTTAGATGAGACTTAACCGTCTGCTGGTTTCTTACCTGGCTTGGCATCTTCAGAAGCAATCTGTGCTAGTGTGTGTGCTCTCCACCAGGCCATAATGAAGGTGCCACAGGTTTACATATGGATTCCCCACTTGCTGTATTTGTTTATGGGGAAGTATGACACCATCATTTGGTTTTCTAAACGATTTGGTGGAGATATCCCAACGCTGGAGTTTTAAAAAGATATAAGGAACCAGCATGTAAGTTAGGTTGCCAACACCTACACAACACTGAAATATCAGCTCTGGGTAGGGTTGACCTTTAAGCATTGCTTGATGCCATTGGCTTAGCCTGGGCCATGGTCAGAAATGTATTTGTCATCCATTTTGTGAATGCTATGGCTTGTTTGTCAGCTGTTTTGCCTCATGACATGGCAGTGTTGCTTGAGAAATTATAGGATCTGTCTTCTACAGCTCTGAGCAAGGAGCATCTGTTTCCATTATGCTTAGGTGACAGGTACTCATTATGGTAGTATTTTAGAAGGGAGATAAGAGCTTTTTGTTGTGGTTTATTCATATCATATGCTGAAGCGTATTTGTCATCCAGGTCAGAGGATACCTAGAAGCAGTAAGTCGAAATAAACTAACCTTGCTTATTATTTTCAAAGACATCAGGCCAGTAATCTGAGCAGTGGTCCATTTTCACTTGTCTTATCTTGTATCTAGGAACTTCTACGGGGCTTAAGGAACACAGTGAAAGGAGCAATGATTTGCTGTTATTCATATTCGCCAATAGGATTTCAACCTTTATTAGTTTGGCTTAACCAGAAACAATGAGACATGCTTTCTGATTGGTTGCTACAGGCTACGACACTTTGCACAATGAGCTCTGCCATGTGCTATTAGCTATAATGCTTGTTATTATTAGCCTGGTAACTGTTATTTTCAGCTTTCTTTTCTGCAAATAACAGCCGTTATGGCAAATAACATTTATTATAATTTTGTGAATTAAACCCAAAGGCACTAATATCTGAATAAGTTCCTGGTATCTTCAAGTGGTAACCTTAAAGAAGTATTTTCTCTAAGCAGTCTTTACATCCAGTCATCGTACTCAAGTCCTACAAAAAGATTTAGGAAAAAAGGACGCTCATTATTGTTTAAAGACACAGATGAATTCAATACAATCTCACAAATCAGGGTTATTTTTAGTAAAACAAGTTAACTGCAACAGACAAACCTTGACACCGTGACTTTGAATACAGAAAATGTGGAAGGGTGACAACTCAACTGGCGTGTGGCTAGATTACCACTTACGATATTTTATTATTGTGCTCTGCTGTCACCAGTTTATTTATTTAATTAAAATATTTTTTTTTTCTTTTGACTGCATGTGTTCCATGTGGAAGATTTCCCCTAAAGTTGGGTTGAATTTCATGCAACATGGCTATCAGTAGAGTCTTTTCATTTTCTAATAATTAATGGGGTCAAATGGACGATGGTTTTTGGCCTGGTGACAAAAAAACAAAGGAGCAGGATGGAATTTTTTCTCGAATAACCAAATTTCTTATAGTGAATGTGGTTTTCAGTTGGAAAACTCCACTCCGAAATCGAATGTTAAAATCAAACAAAATTTGAAACAACATTCGTCAAGTTTCTAATAAATGTTCTCTCAGCAAACTGCTATGCTACCCGGCAAACATGACAGCTATGCCGAAGTCAAAAAAGTTAATTTAATTAATCCCAGTCTGAGTTTTGACAAAGGTTCAGTCAACAACACAAAAGGAAGCAATTGGAAATGACTGAAGTGAGGGAATTCCCCTCTCAGACACTTGTCATTGGAACAGGAGGTTCTGGAACAGGAGCTTTTCTCTCACCTGAAGTTCTGGTGACAACTGTGAAACATTGGATTTCCCATCACCTTCTGTCTGTGGTCACCAGGACGAATAGAGAGGTTGTATCTCCCCAATAGGGGCACAGACATCAATAAAAACCTGACATGGGTTCTGATCTTCCCTTCCTTATCAAAATGAAAAAAATTAATGTTTTGGCGTCAGATACACTTTAAATCCCTAACCTCTTCTCGATTAAGTCGGACATTGTTAAGTGTGCTTAGGGTAAGTTCAACAAATCCTCCTTATGCGGTCAATACATTCAAGCTGGAGAATAGAAAGTGCAAAATGAGATGTTGTGTATGTCAACCAATCAAGTTTCACCTTTTAAATTGGGGTGGCAAATGAATACTGAATTCAGGTGCCTGTCCATCCAATCAATGAGCCAACCGAAATGTTTTTATGAGCCAGATTCATTACCAACAACTAGAGGGAAACTCTAAAAAAGTTAGGCACCAGCTGTAATTTCTAAGGCACATTGGCTCCTGGGGTTTGTCCAGCCATGTTTAAAACCAATGAAAAATTGAACCAGATTCTCATTGGCTAACATTTCCAATTTTTTGTTTATCTTTTTTCTCCCTCCTGCTGTTTTATTTTGTCCATGAGACTTTTTTGTTGTGTTTTGGGGCATTAAATTAAATTTTTCACTAAATGTTGGGGTTTAATAAGGAGTTGCGCTAATATTGCGCAACATAAAAATTTGCAACTACCACCATTTTATTCTATAGGGTCTTGGCATTCAGAAAATATATAATGTTGGGGGTTTTAAGTCATTTTCAGGCCTAAAATGTGGAATATAACATGGGTGCAAAAAATGAAAAAAGGGCCTCAGTCATGAAGGGGTTAAGTTAAACTCCAGCCAAATCCTTTTTTTAAGGTAGCATGGAGAAGAGATAGAATCATTGTTCGGTTTTCATTGCTGTCCCCATCAGGGAAATGTAACCTCACGTCCACTGTCATTCTTCCCAACGAGGACACAGGCGGCAATGAAAACTCAACAAAGGTTCTGATCTTTCCTCCCTCTAAAGCAAAGCTTGACAAATTCCAGGAGCCAAGTAGCCAATGCACCTTAAAAATTACAGCTGGTGCACAACTTTTGGGGGTTTTCTCTAGTTGCTGTCAATGGAGCTGGCTCCTAAAAAAGCATGCTGGCTCCTGGATTGGAGAGACTGGCTTTTGAATTTCATATTAATTTGCCCATTTATGCTCTAAGGCAAGTGTAGTCAATCTTCAGACCTCCACCTGTGGTAAAACTACAAGTCCCATGAGGCATTGCAAGACTCTGACAGCCACAGGCATGACTCGCTGAGGCATGATGGGAGTTTAAGGTTCA